TCCGTCAACGGAACTCTCGCGCCCAGTAGTGTCGCCTCCCTTTCCGTCCGTTCAGGCAACCTTGCCTTGCATTTTGCCTTCTGGTCTCCTGCCTCCCCGTCGCCTTCCGGCCAGCACGGAGTTCCATCGCCTCTCCTCCTGCCGTTTCCCTTTTCCGTCACCTGCTTGCTCCATCTTGCTCCTTGTTCTCAAGCTCCAGGTCTCAAGCCTTCGTCACTGTAGCAAGGCTAGCCTCAACTCCACAGTAGAGGATGAGCCGTAGCTATCCCGAAAAAGCTAGCAGCCTCAGAGCCTTAGAACGCTGGAAGATTGGGAGAAAGCTCGGGTTTCAAACAACACTGAGCCCAGGATCAACAAAGGATTTTGTGCCTACGACGTACGGAAGTACAACACTTTTCAGCCAAGGCCGCCGGAGCTGCAAGCAAAGCATGGCAAAGCCTATCATTGCACGATGACCAAGCCAAGGGTCATCTCTGGTCAGCGGCCGCCTGAACTGTGCATCTGAAGCTGCAAAGGTAGATCTCTTGCAAGTGCCAGGGAATTTTGGCAGTGGCTCGTTTTGCTTTAAGTCGAGGCTTTGGTGTTGTGCAACGTAGACCACCCGCCTTATTTATTTCAAAAGCTCTATCAGCCACGCTTCACCACTTTTCGTTTCTCGCAGGATTTCGAACCATCCTCGGAAAGCAATCACAAGAACAGTCTTTTCGTTCATGGTGGATTACGATACAGAAACCTCCACGTTCGGCATGTCCTCGTTCTCATCCTCGTCATTGTGATCGACATCGCCGTCCCATCTTCATGTCATCATCTTCATCAGTTGCATCATCATCATCATCATCCTCGTCGTGGCCACTGCCATTGTGCCGCCAGCCACCCCGGCCGCCGCCACCGCCACCATAACCAGCAGAAACACTATCCATCCTACTGCCACCAGCAGCATGCTACAACAGCAACCAGAAGCACCATCACCAAAGCCATCTATCCCAATGCCACTCCACTGCTACTGTATCAGCGCAACAACCTGCCATCACCACCACCAGCTTGGCCGTGGCCACATGAAGGTCCAACGAGGCTAATGTTACTTTCTGGCCCCGTTGATGTTTGAGTCCAGCTAGAGCTGTAAGTTCGGTTATGTGTCCACATGATCAGGGCATGATGTTATGTGCCAGGGGTCAACTATAGTCTGGAACAACATATTCAAAGCTACAGTCAAAACATCGTAAAGCTGAAGCTAGCCAAGGGGATCTCAAGCAGCACTGAACCCTCACAAATCCTTCCCCCGTCTCACAGCAGAAGGCCACGGACTCTGCACCCTCAACCGCCTACGCTGAGGCAGCTGCTCGGCGACTACGGAAGCCTCAAAGATTCGGAGTTGAGGCTGTAGGGGTCTGAAAGTGTCGGCTTTTTTGTGGGTCTAGAGTCTACATAGACCTTCTTGCGATGCTTTGTTTGGGCTTGGGTCTGGGAATCGGGGATCTCCTGCAAGGGCAGAATGCTGCTGACAGCCTCAGGTTCCTTGATGAGTCAGGCTTTGAAGCCAAAAGGCAACTTTATCAATCTCGTATGGGGCCGGGCGGTAAAAACTCCGAAACATGTCATAGTACGCTTGTCATGGGCCCTTCGCTTAACTTCGCTTTGTCCACGTGCCGCTAGACTGCAGGAAGACGTTCCACTCAATGTACGACCCACATGCGCTGTAGTGTCCTGGCGCCGGCCCTGACCTCCTGTGTTATCCCAAAATCCTGCCCCCAAAACGCACGGATTTGACCTTCGCCCTGACACTGAAGCACCCGGTCTCTAAATCCTTCAGTTGCAAGGCCAATGGCGGGAGAGGGTGCTGGAGGCGAGGCCAGGCGGTGCCTGGAGCCAAGGGACGATTTCGCGAGTTTCCGCTTTCCACTGGGTTGTGCATGAATTTGCTGCTTTTCTTGGGGCCGTACGGGGTCCCGTGCTGAGAGAGGCCTAACATCCCTCGCTGAAAGGCAAGGATCCCCGACCCCCCTGGGAGAACTGCCTGAAACCATCCGCTGGGATCTGACAACTTGGGTTCCTTTTACAAGGCTGGGGATGCCGTTAGGGGTTTGCGAAAGGTGAAGAACCCCCTTCTGTGCAGTCCATGGTACAAGTGCTTGTTTCTGCAAGTGCGAAAATTAATTAGTCGAGATTCCCAAAACGTCAACCACGTGCATACTTAACCTGACCTCAGATGCCTTGCACAGGGTCGCAATATCAAACAAGGAGGGCTCATTGACCAGGGGTTTACACTAGGCCAGATACCCCGAGTCGCAAATGTTGAGCATTGCTCTAAGCCGAGTCTGAAACACTGAACCTGCAATGGCCGCAGAAGGTGACTCCTCAAGAAAACCACCCTCGACGTGCCCAACAACTCTTCATCCTGCCAGCTTCTTCAAGCTAGGCGGCCCTGAGGAGCTTTTTTTCCTTAGACGTGCCCGGGAGCTCCTCTGGCTACGAAAATGCGGTCCTCTCAAATTCAGCGGCAAAGGCCCAAGTACGGAGGTATTCTACGTGGGCTTGTTCGAAGCAGGGGTTGGTGGTAAGGTCCTTCGCCCAAGCTCGAGTCACAGTACTTATGGTTTACAGCTTACAGTTGAGAAGTCTCGAGGTTGCTGGCTTACTGGTTCATCTGAATGATCAAGTTGGGGAGTGCCACCTCCCACCCGAACGTCGCGGCAGAAGAAGCGCTAATCCAGCAGACAGCAAGTTTCACTCTTGAATCCTGACGCTTTGAAAGCCGGTCATCTTCACACCTGACGACAACGGCGGAGAGGCTGTTTCACCTGACGCTCAAGTTGAAGCCTATGCAAGACATGGCCAGTGGCCAGCTTCTGTGCTGAACTGCCAAGCAGCTACTGGCTAGACGCTCCTAATGAAAATCCGGTAAATCAGCAAACAGCAACAGTTGCACAAGAAAAGAAGCACTTCAAAGTTAGGGTCGTGAGAATTTTAGGCTCAGGTTTGGCTGATAGGTCCATGATTCTATCTCCTGATGACTACTTACGGCGAACCCAGCCGTCGTCAGCAAAAGTAGGGTTTCGGCCTTAGTTTGGCGGGAAAACATGAAACATGTCACAAGAAGCCCTGAAATCGATCGAGTATTGTCTGCGCTGAGCGGCTCCATGATTATCTACATAAGGTTTTGATCGCTGGTGGTTTGGTGCTAGGAGGTCCCCCGGCGACTGTGGCACAGGAATTTATGGAATGGCTTCCAGATGAGCGTGGAGCGGCCCTGGGTGTGGCAACTCGGGCCGAACTCAAGGGAAGGTAGCCGCGCATATGATGTGATGTTTAGCCGCACATGCGGTGTTTGGAAACCCAACCCCAGTCAACCAAAACTATGATGCTACTGGTAGCTGGGCAGATGTCGCGACGAGTGCTTAGGGCCGAACGCTTCGACCTTTGAATTGCTCTGCAAGCCCTAGGGTGGCAAGCAATTCAGGGCGTGATGGCTTTGCCAATCACAGTTCTCCATTAGGAGGCAAGCCTGCGTCCTGTGACCGTTCCCTACTGCCAATGACCACATCACGAGATGCCCGGAAACGCTAAGCCTGGGTCTCAATCACGCCTTATTTCACGTAAACTCATGAATGAACCTCTAGTCTCGAACCCAGCTTTCCTCTTTCATTGAGTAAGGGCCAAATACCATGAACGCTGGTCAGCCTGACAATCTCAATGTCCGTCAATACAACTCAAGCTGACCCCAGCAGTTCATCGTCTCAACAGTTACAGGTTCTTGGCAGACTGCCGGTTGCCGCGCTTTGTGCCACGTGAATAGGCCGTCAAGTCAAGGCTTGAGGTCGGTTTATTCGTATTGGTGCACCTCGAGTAAAATGCAATTGGTTGGTGCGTAAATTGTGTCGCAGGTCAGGGTTCAGAGTCCTCCGTCTTGGCTTTGGGATTGGGCTCTGGGCCCGCAGTAAAAGATGCTCGCTAAAGAATTACTTCGGACCCGGTTTCCAGTCAGAGAGATGCCAGTCTTTCTAAGCCCAATCCGACTGCTCAATCAAGCTCAATCTCTCCTGTCCTGACGAAGCCCCGCATTGCCCTAGCCTACCATGAAACAGTTTTCCTCGTAAACGCTTGACTGTTCACCGACGCTTCCACTGGGACTCGGATCTTCTACCCGGCACAAGGCATGCCCCCCGCGTGAAACTCATGTGGGGTACCAACTATGGAAAAGCCATAAACCTGCCTCGCTGTTTCCGAACACCCTAACGGCAAAATCCCGCCTCATGCGAAATCTTGGCGTCTGAGCACACTTTCGTGACACTAGCATCACAGGTTCTCAGATGTCGAAGGCTGCCGGCCTGGCAGGGCCTGGGCTTCCGGAACTAGCGCTCGGACTAGCCGCTGGTCGAGGTTAGACAGCTCTCTCAACAAACTCTAGCTGCCCTAGCTTCGTCTGCTGCACTGTCGGACCGTACTTTTGACTGAGTGCTGCATCCTACTTCTACCCCATCGCAGACTGGACCCCGCCGTGTCGGGTTACCGCCTGACTACAAAAAGTCAAGGCGTGAGACGTGCGCTGATTTCTTGGCAGTGAGCGGCTTAGTGCGTAGAAGACTATTCGTCCGGGCAAGCGGCAAGCTCGTGAATGTAAGGTTGCAATACCTTCTGGGACTTCGGACTTCTAGGAATGGGTCTGCAGCATGTTAAGCTGCCATTGAAGCTCCAACGCGGCAACTCTTGCTGTTTGACATGCTCAAAACAGGAGGCTCGAAGACGCCATAAGGGCATCTTCAAATCTACCTTAGCTGCAGGCCGTGCAGGCTGTAAGTAGTAGGCAACGACATGGGGTGCCCATCATGCTCGATGCCTCATTGGAGCCCGCAAGTAGCCAAAGCTCCGCTGGGGCAACGTGTCTCGACTGGTGCTAGAAATGACAAACAAGTGTAGAAATCTTGGCCTTAAACATCTTCAGATCACAGAACACGAGGCTGTAACCTCAATGAGCAACTCTTGATGCTCCCGGCCTTGTGCCATCAATGCTTCTTACGGCCAAACGTGCGGGGAACGATCGTCGCGTCAGGAGGCGGTACCTCCTGCGCAAGCTCAGGCTGTAAAGCACTGATTGATGCTCAGGCTGCCACCGTAACACACGTCGACCTAGGCCATGCTCAACATGGCCTGACCAAACTGAACCTCCAACCCAGAACCCCGACCTTGACAGGAAGGCGAGAGACAAGCGGATACGTGATGCAGGCTCAGGGTCTGAAGTGGTGGCTCGCAGAGCACGTTCTCACGAGATACGACAATTTCTTGGACAGAACTTGGGGGCTCGGCATTGGGGATTGAGTTCACGCTACCAGGAAAGGCTTGGAGGGAGAGTTTGTGCCACAGACCAGCTAGAATAGGAAAAGCGATCCCGACAGACACTTTTAAAGAGTGAAACAGGTTTAGAATTCATGCCCATTAGAGTGAAGTGTCTGGCAGCTGAAATCAGACAAGCCTCAACCCTATTGCCCAGATTTCCCGATGCTGCCTGCTGGACAAGGCTGAACAAGGGTTCAGTCGTTTCGGGCGGCTGCTTGAAAGTCCCGCGCGGGCACAGCGTCGAAGGATCCTCCAGGCCTTGGTGGCAGCCGGCTTTAGGCGCTTGCCGTCGTCGAGGCGTGTACAATGGTCCGGCTTCTGTGTTTGCAGAGTTGTCCTCAAAGGCTTTCGAATGCCGCGCATCCGCATGCCAGACACTGAGAAGCGCCAATTACACATCCCAAAACCTATATATATAAAGCCTAAACCCACATCTTTGCCACTACAGGGCCAATTCCAGCAATCTACACTGCTTTTGGATTGCGCCGAAACTGTATTCGTAGTCGTAGTAGTAGTAGCAGCAGTAGTAGTAGCAGTAACTGGTTGCTGTAGTATGTAAGAGGAAGTAGAACTAGTGGTAGTCAGCAGTAGTAGTCGCAGGCGGACCAGCAGCAGCAGGAGCAAGAGCGGCAGCAGCAGTAGGAGGTAGCCGTCGTAGCGCAGTAGTAGTAGCAGCAGCAGCGGCAGGAGTAGTAGTAGTAGTAGCAGTGGTAGTAGTAGTAGTAGTAGTAGTCGTAGTCGTAGTAGTAGTAGTAGTAGTAGTAGTAGCAGCAGTAGTAGTAGTAGCAGTAGCAGTAGCAGTAGCAGTAGCAGTAGCAGTAGCAGTAGCAGTAGTAGTAGTAGTAGTAGTAGTAGTAGTAGTAGTAGTAGTAGTAGTAGTAGTAGTAGTAGTAGTAGTAGTAGTAGTAGTAGTAGTAGTAGTAGTAGTAGTAGTAGTAGTAGTAGTAGTAGTAGTAGTAGTAGTAGTAGTAGTAGTATACTAGTAGTTGTCGTCGTCGTAGTAGTAGTACTAGTAGTACTAGTAGTACTAGTAGTAGTATACTAGTAGTTGTCGTCGTAGTAGTAGTAGTAGTAGTAACAGCAGTCGTAGCAGAAGCAGAAGCAGCAGCAGGAGGTAGGAGTCGTGGCAGTCGCTGCCTCCACATTGGCAATGGTGCTGTGAAAGGAGTCTTATACATATACATACAAGGCTACGATAGCTGTTGCTTCCGACTCGTCTTCAACAACCAACCCCAGTAACTGCGCCCCTATCTGTATGCGTGTATGTATGTATGTGTATGTACATACTTCCGTGTCCGAACATGTTTGTGCGTATGGGTATGAAAATGTGTAAGCAAGAGTATAAGTATGAAAAAGGCATAGGTTTTTTCCTTTTCGTATGCAGGCATGCACACACGTTCATGTGTAGGTGTGCATGCGCATTTGCCTGCGTGCGTGCATGCGTGGGTCTGCGCACGTGCATGTACATCTGCATGTGAATACTTGCAAGTACTTACATGTATTTACATGTGTATGTCCATGCATACACCCATCCCTCTGCATATGTATATGTATCATATGCGTATGCATACGGACATACGTATGTATGCACGTATGTATGTCTAAACGCATGTGACTTTAGATGCGTGTGTTTGTGTGTGTACGTGCATGTGAATGGTGCAAGTGTGCTTGTACAAACTGTATGTGTGGGTTTTCGTATATGTGCCTCGTGTATACAGATAGATACCTTGCTGAGAGCTGTAAAGATCATGACAGGGAGCCATAGGGGTGCTTCCTTTCCTCCCGGAAGGGTTGGTAGAGGGCCGGCAACATGCTCTTGTCAATGGAGACCTGTCTGTAGCGTGTTATAGTCGGTTTTATCGAGACTCCAAAGTGCCTGAACCCGGAGAGTTTGCTTTCTGTGGTTAGCTATCTAGGGGTTCGCGTGCCATTGTATTTCTTGGATGTTGGATTTATGCTCTCGCAACCGGGACTAAGCCAGACGAGGTCTCTCGGTTCACAAGCACATTGACTGGCTACAGACAATCTTCGTGAACAAGTCTCACTCCTGTCACAGACTTCAGGATACTACAGGGCTCAATCGCTTCGGACAGGAAGGAGACGCTCTCCGAAACCGAGCCTGTAACCAAAGCCCTTAACCTGAAGAAAACCCCAGCAGCCGTGCAAGTTTCGCGCGTATCCTTCTGGGGACGCCGGACTCTGAACAATTGGGTTGAAAGTGGTGCTGTCTGCAAGCGATCCGGCACTGCAGATTCAACAGCTTAACAGGCTTAACACCCAAGACACCACAGTCAATTCAAGACCAAGCGAAGACTCGCCCGGTATGAGACTCTGCATCCACCACTAGAGATCCACAATCCTGAACCTTCAAGCACCTAAGCTTCTGTCGCAGGCCGAATACCATACAAAGCCAGCAGATCCTGCACAAAACAATTGCATCCCTGTAACACTGTTGTACCTAAAGACACTATCAACAAGCCTGCCGTTGTGAGATGACTGGAAGTAGATCCGGCCGGACACCCGTGAAAGGAGCTGTGCGCCTGAGTGTACATGTCGACAGGGGTTTCTAGCCGTTTTGGGGGTCCATGCTGTATTTCGTAGGGACTATAAGGGAATGCAGCCGCAAAGGATTATAAGCCTCCTGACACTCTTAGTAGTGTCCAGGGATGTGGGGTTGAGCTGAATCATAGCTTCTGGCAGGGTTGGTGTTGTGCCTGAAGCCAGAAGCGGTGTGGCGAAAGGATGGGCTAGTTACGCCGCTCCGAAGCCTTGGAGAGCTGCGCAGTTTCGACTCAAATCGCCTTCTCGCAAAAATCCCGCTGCGTTCGGTGGGGACGTGGAACTCTTTGTCAAATTCAGGCTATTTAGCGCTCCGCAACTTCTCAAATTCTGTCGCCGCCACCTCATGCGATAATCCTGCTTGCATGAGCAGCAGCATCCCGGGGGTCCTCGCCTTGATTCGCCTTGTTGTTTCACCAGGATGCAGCGCCAGGCCAGCGTCCGACACTGAACACCACCGCAGCAAATCAATGAACGAAGTACTACGTATAATACATGGTGTATGATGTGCTAGATCTTAGATACTAGATATGTCTTTAGGTAGCGATAGCACCATAACCTGTAACCTACAACATTCTACAACCTATACTTGACATAATTTGTAGGTCCGGGTGCTTCGCGCGTTCCGGATGCGGCCCGGATGTTGCGGGTCTGGTGTCCCGGTCCCAGGTTCCGGGGTCCGGGTCCCCAGGTGAGGCACGGACATTCCGGATGCAGGCCCGGGTGTTCCGGGTTCGGGGGCGGTCCCGGGAGTCCCAGGTGTCTAAGGACGACAAAAAACGACAGGAGCGATATTACGTATGTAAACTACCGGCAAGCTACACGCGCCCCCTTGACACCCTGAGGTGCCGGTGAGATGCGTTCCGACCCAATACTCCAGCTTGTATGAACTTCCCTAGCGTTGGATGTGAAGCCCTCGGCCCAATGTACAAAACGCGTTCACACCTCCTGCAGGTCCCAGCTGCGAGTCGAATCCTTTCATGAAGTAGGCGTTGCCGGTGTTTTTGGGCAGCTCACGGAGGGAAAGTTCATCCTGAACGGTGAAGCTCATCTTGTACTTGATCCTTGGCAAATGCTTCCAAACATTCAGTGCTAAGGAGGATGACATGATCACACACCGCTGTCTGGTTAATACAAGATCGTAAGATAGTACAGTACTCTGTTCTTGTACTCCCGAGTGTGATCTAAGGTTCATCTAGTATCTGGTTGTTTGTTTCGTGACTGGGCCGGGCGTAGAGATGGACTGCAGTAGGCAATGCTTGGATGGCTTCCGGCAACCTTCCGCTTAGTATCCTTGCAAAGCCCGCGCTGCCGCTATCATTCTGATTGCTTGCTGCTTGCGACTACCATTATTCACTTTTATACGTACTCGATATGCAAGTATCCACTCTGTCCATTACAGTAGTGTGTTCATCCCTATCATCAGGACAACTTACACAGTAGCCGTATCCTTTTACTGCTTTATGTATTCTTGCGGAGATTTGCTGCTGCTATGATTGTGATGACTTGCGAGATCCTGACAAGTAAACAGCCCTAGCGCCTTCTATCACCAAAAACTCGCCACCTCCGTTATTCTTGTTCTTGTGTGCTACTGTTTTTGCTTCCGTTCCTTGGTGTTGCAGTTCCGGTTCTGTTCTCAATGTCTCTGCTGACCTTGACGTCATCTATTCTCGGGTATTGTGAACCTTCTTGCAGTATTACCTCAGTTGCTGAGGTCTCACCACGAGAAGTTCAGATTTCGGGCACAGGGCCTTTTGGCATGCTGAAGGGTCGTGACACGTGCAGCTGAAGTTGTCGTGTCTGCACTTTGGCACTTTGAGTTCGAAGGTTTGAGGGCAGAAACGACGCGAGCAGCCGAAAGCTTCTCCCAAAGATCCAGGCACGTATACTTCTTATCGAGGATCTTGGGAGCAGGAAGCGCCACGTCCGGCACATCATAGATCCTGGGCCAATCGAACTCCTTATACCTCCGGCAAAGATCCAACGTCCGAAACCCCAAACTGTGAGCCTAGGTTCCCGAAATGCATCAAAGTGCTCTTGTCTCCGGGGCCGAAAAAGTTGCTTCCAGCTTGTTTCGGGTATGACCTTCTGCGCTCCTGCTTCGTGTTGTTTCAACTTCTGTGTCTACGGCTATTGTGCATATTTCACGAAACAAGTAGACTGCAACATAAGTAGTGTGGATAGGAGAAAACAACAAGAACGTGAAGACATGCTTGTTGGCTCTTGCGGAGTTAGAAAGCAGGTCCTCAACTCGAGTCGAAGTGAACAACCACGGCGCGGAGAATGTTGTCCTAGATGCATCTACGGCTGTTACGGAAGCTGATCAGCCACACTCATGAAACCCCGAACAGTAGTCATGACAACTACAGGAATAGAGGATGACTAGAAACACAGCCTAAATCGCCCAAAAAGTTCTAATCTGAACTCTAAACCCCTCAGCGACCACCGTATTCTGAGCAAGCAACTTAGCCGCATCCACACCGATCGTTCGTTCGAGCCGGTCCTCCAAGTGGCTGGAGCGTGCCCGAAGGTTGAAGTGCTCAGTTGTAAGACAGGGTATGCAGGGGTATAAGCAGGTATAGCTACATTTGCTACTTTTCCCCGAAGCGTAGCATGTCCAGGAATCCCTGAAGTACAGCGCTTAGGTTTCCTGATTCCGGCCGTAGTATTACATGCAGATATGCCGTTTACAGCAGAATTCCAGATTTCAAAATTCCTGTTTTGAGCGGCTTAGTTCGTTTCGAAACGGTCCGAGCCAAAACATATCTATGGTGGCACCCCAGCCCTCTCTGCTGCAAGCTGGACCCGCCAGGAACAAGGCCCACAACTCACTCTCCTGCGACAAATTGAAGCAGACCACAAATGCAACCACTGGTTCTGGGCACACAAGAAGACTATATCATTGCCAGGCCCTCCGCCGCCCTGGACACTTGCTTCCGAAACGCAGGACATATCAAAACTCCTGCGGAACGAAAACCCAAAACACCTGTTAACCTCGTACACTAGAGGTTTGCACTCTCATGAACACATAGGAAACCAAAACGACAAGAACTGTCAAGAGACCTCCCTCATTGGGCCCTAACCGAATCCCCGAATCGCTTGCTCCTTGATGCGGAGCCTCAAGGCGCTGTGGGGTTTCGAAAGCTCTGCCTCACATGGGAGTTTCCGAAAATAGGGGTACCTTATTTTGGGGTCCTTATAATCAGGATCCTACTATTTAGGGTACTATAGTAGGGTCCCCTCTTTTCGGAAACTCCCACATAGGCTAATGGTGTTGGAGCAGCGTCTCTACCCCCGCCCTCTTCGCGCGGTGCAGTATGAATCTGTAGAAGGTATGGCAGGGGCTATGTAGCTCGCGTTGTCCTGCGCCTTGGCTTTACAAATAGAACCGCGAGTCCCACGCCTGGTGCATGCTGCTTGTGCAATTTGCGTGGGGATTTCGCTTATCTTTCGCTGTAGGGTCTGGGTCCGGCGTCGGGTGCACCGAGTGTGGCGGGTCGGGTCTGGGTCCGGCTGAAACAGGCTTCCGAGCGATTGAAATTGGCGAAAAAACCGTGAGCTTCACTTCTACAAGTCTGCTAAGCAGGAGCGAGGAGGTAGCTACTAATCTCCTAGAGCGGGCACCCGGCTCTGGGTGGAGGGACCCGTACGCGTCTTACCGTTGTGGGGACCCGAAAAGCTCTGTGATGTGGGAATCTCGGGTAGGCCACTATCAAGGCCGTCTGGGCAAGGTCGCTGCCATCACCGGCCCGTGCTTCGCTACTCAGCTGCAGTTCAATCCGCACTCCTCCAGCAAGCCTCCAGCATCAGTGGCTGCAAGTGTCTTGTGGATGACAGTATGGAGCACCGAACTACCCGACTGGTCAGACCCGATCCACAGCCCTAAGCCCTAAGCGCTTGTGGACCCGCCGCGAGTATGAGAAGTCCAGGGGCATTATCCAGGAATCTCAAGCCCTTTATTCCTACCTTCGAAACCGTGAACCCGCAAAACAAGTTGCCACTAAATTCCAAGCCCTACTCCCAAGCCGGACCCCAAAACTTAAGACACGGCCTTGAGATCGGCAAGCCTCGCTGCAGTGGCCCCCTCTGGGATGTCGAAGAACTCATCCTGTGCTTGGGTTCGTTTGAACTGCAGAGGCTGCAGAGGTTATGTTTACAGAAGTCCATGTGGGCTCGTGCTTTGGGCTTGAGGCTTGCGAGAGGAAGCACGGAGCCCTGGATAGCCCTGGACTCAAGCGGACCGTACTCGATTGTGATTCCGGCCTGAAAAGAAGGGTTGCCTAAACAGCGGAGCAGCAGCCCCGTACTAAAAGGTGGAAAGAAGCAATAGCGCTCGGCACCACGACCCTAAATACAGGATTCTCAAACCCTTCTCCGGTGGCAGGGCGTGGGCCTTTATGTCCAACATGTGAAGAAGAGCCCTGAACGGAAGCTAGGTATTCAATGTGCTAAGCATGCCCAAAAACGCGCCAAAGAGAAGATGCATCACGCAAGTTTCTGAAACTCTCTGAAGAAGCTCGGGCCCCCCGGGAGATCCCAGGAGCCTCTTCGAGTCCCTCCGGCGGCGCATTGATGTCAAAGGACACCTCTTCTCGTCTTGTCCAGTCCATGCTTTTGAAGTTAGAAAGGGGCCTGTGAAAGCAGCCCGTGGGCATTGCGGAGATTAGGTTTGGGATCGACAGCCAGTAGCCGTACCAAACCAACAAGCCCACAGCCACCAGCCCGAAGAACAACTTGTCTAACTATCAACTTGACTCGAACAACCCCTCCACCCTCAAGCCCCAAACTCTACAGCGGAATCCCAAACTCTGCACAGTCACATATAGCCGGGTTCAATTGTGGTTGGGGCACAATGATCCTAGTAATTTCGACGTTCCAAGCTGGGGAAACCAACAGGGATCCATACCCACTGAACCCGGCTCGTAGACAAGTTGCAAGAATGCTTGCTCCGGTTCCGATTTGATCCTTGGAGCACATACTGCTAGGCTTGCTTTCCGTATCATCGGCTTTGGTGGTTTGGATCTGCTTGAGTGCGACCACTTCGACCCGGAACGTCTCAGCGCTACAAACCCGGAAAGCTGAAGCAAGAAAACGACCGCCCTCCGGACGGATTGAGGATTCAGTCAGGCCAGGCCGGGTGTTTGTTTGCTACCGGCTCCCGGGTGTCGAGGTAGCAAGAATGAACGTCTGCACACAATGCGTGGCTGGACTGACCAGGCGCGAAGCACTTGCCAGTTGTAGAATGTAAGCCTCTTTGGTACCCAACGACCGACATTTCAAAGACTGTGCTTCAGACATGGATTTTCTTGCGGAGCAGCTGGCTTTCTCCGATCAACCTAAACTCTCGCAGTGCAATACACTGTACAGTTTGCCAGAACTCGCTGTTTCGGCTTCCTGAATGAACTCAGCAACTTGGTGGGGCCTTCTGTGCGTCCGTCGTCTCATCACAAAATTCAGCAAGTGGTTTAAGCCGTCTTTAGAGGCTAGGTCATGGGAAATGCAAGCAGGACACGCCTGCACTCCATCACTAGGGTATAACCCTGTCGCATATGCGGCAATTTACGCATCTCTCCTGATTTCGCAGACAGTGCAAGCACAGTTCATGTCGAAGTAAATATTCCGATCATCAGATGGAGCCGGGAAATCTTTATGTGATTCAAGCCCGTCTTCGAAGATGAAGCAAACACAATAAGTGATGGACTTGAATCCGTTTCGACATGGCTGTATTCTGTACAGATTAGTCATCTTACTCTCATTTTGCTGCAGTTGGATTCTTCCTATCTTTGATGACCTGACCACATCCCAGCCATAGCTGACAAAGACAGCACGACTGTATGCTGTTTGCCCTGCTCAGGTGACCCAAGGCAAGAAGATTACACTGTTAGTGCATAGACATGCCCTTAGCTGAACGGAAAACTGTTCAACCATTCTGCTAATCGGTAATCCAGCCGTAGTGGTCTTGAAGGCAGGGGAACGGTCCAGATCTTATTTCTATTGTATCTTTGTACGGAAACTTCGCGGGCATATTAATCCAAAACCCGTTTATACAAAATCGAAGACAAAGATGCGTAGATCAGTGCGAATCAAGTCCCCCCCAAAAATGAACCACAGCCGAACTCATCAGGTACACTATGCGGCGCCAGTTCCACCATCCGCCTGGGTTGGGGGTTCGTGTCACCATTCGAAGTTTCCCTTAAACCCACAAGATTACCCTGTTGACCTCAAACACTTCTGGAACTCTCACAACACACTCAAAATTCCAAAACTTCCACGACAATCGTACTAAGTACCATCATTTTGTGCTTTAAAATTTCCAACATTTTCCAACAACTTCCAGAAGTCTTAAAATCTCAAACATCCACAAAGCAAAGCCATTGCAAGCACAATTTCCCGAGAACTCCAGGATTTCCAAAAGCCCCTTACAGGGAGAAACGCAGGCAAACACCCTGTCGTTGCAGCTGTTGTAACAGTACTACATGGCCAGTATGCTTATGCCAATGTGCAGTGTGCGCAAGTTCTCCAGAATCTGTACTATGAACGATTCGAGATGCTATGGCCATGGTGCATGATTTGAAAGATACAGACAACACACGGCTCGGTTGGACAATGTTGGAAAACAACAGCAAAAAATACGCATGTCGTATCCAGTAACTACTCATGAAAAAACAACCACTCAAACAACATCTGTGACTTAGCATTTCGTTGCCATGTATTCAGTACCCGCTGAAACTTAAACTGCAAGACATTAAATTTAGTGTTCAGCTAGTATTTCAAAAGACTGCATCAGTATGGCAGATGCCACCGTACGAGGAGCACGCAGCCAATGTTCGGACACTGCTTTAACGTATACAACGGATCGTGTTCATGTAAACACATTACTTAGTATCATTCCTCACTTTTGCTACGAGTTCAGTGTTCATCTACATATCAGAATTCAGCGATTGATTGTTCACCAAGCCCCCACATAGCACTTAACTAGGTTCTGGATTTCTGCGCTCACATCGGCACCCGTTTAAACATGTTTTGTCTCGGAGCATCAAACAGAAAGTCGCAAACGTATTAAGTCACTTCTAAGAGTTGATGAAGTATCAGGCGACAATATAACCACTATCGAGAATACTGAGAACATGAAGAAAATACCGTGTAAATACTGCACAGTCAACACAATTATTTCGTATCGGGTTTCAGTCAATTGCGTATTTCACAGCCTCGCTCCTCACTCCCGCAGTAATAAGAAAAGCTTCATCCTGTTTCAGTCTTGTTAAGAAGAGCAGCCGACAGCACTGCTTCGATGTTGTATTCGTGCTTGCACGTTACTGAGAAGAGCCTTTGCCGAGTAGCACCAACACTTGGGCTATGAGACATGGGCTGAGAAGATAATATACAACAGTACCATGTATAGGGGTCTACATATCTGATTCCTGATTCATTTGTTTTATCTGAATCTATCTAGTCGGTAGTGTGTCTGCATGCACATACACACATGTATACATACATATATGTATATACACACATAATTGCATGCTGGCAGTGGGAAGGCAGGGGGCACATAGGACGGATCGACATTGTGCTTCTGTCTCCTCTCTCTCTCTCTCGCCCTCTTTCTCGGCTGTCCGACAGCCTGTGCCTGGAAGCCTTCTATATATATAATATATATATATATATATATATTGTACATCCTGCGAAGGATGCCAACTGCGGTCCAAGCAGCATCCTCCTCGTGAGATCCGTGCTTCGAGTCTCGCGACCTTGCCCGCGGACGCGGAGGCAATCCCTTACCTATGCCAAACTCCAAAGTCTTTGCAGCCCAAACTGCAAAGATCCAAAACCACCAAGGCACGCTCCTTTCTAGCGGCAACCAGGGGTCCCAAAGTTCCAAACCGGAGAGGATTCTGGCAATCTATTGGGGAATTGCACGTTTCAAGGCAAGCTTCAAAAACAATGAAAATGTGGATTGTGCGTGTTGGCAGGCCAGCGGGGAATCACTGTCGGGAAGGTACCTTCAAAGTGGACTTCCTCACTTGCTTGTAAAACAACCCTGCAGGCCTTCTCAGTCTGTGAGCAACCCTAGCCTAAGCAGTCGACCGGCCAACGATTGTCACCGAAGAAGGATCTTGTACTCTTCAAACAAACCCGGACCCGACTGCTGCATTGCCACCACCTGAAGCATTGAATGTGCTTAACTACACAGAAGACACGGACCTCTGCAGGGCCATACGTCTCTATGCAAACGAGAGTCAGATAAACGATTCACTGCCCTGGCTCTTTACAACATACAGGGGCAAGGAGCCCCAACAAACCATGGGGGATTTCAGCAACACGCGAAGCGATGTGCGAATCAGCGAAGGACAAAGCCGAAGGACTTAGGAGCACATCACTGGCTTTCTCAGACCCGAGAAAGCCCCCGCACGGCAGCATGTTGCCAAGCACATCACGGCAAAGGACAACACGAAGACACGAAGTGACATGCAAACAAACGCCAGGCCCTGCAAACCCTCTGACCAGTCACAGGGAACCTGACGCCCGAAGAAAAGACGCCACATATGCTTCCGCCTACAAAGCGTCATACCTCTCATGCCACATCCCAAGCAAGCATCCGAAACCCCTCTTTAAGCACAGACTGTGTGCGAGCAGAGTCTTCCTATGCCTCAGTGTGCCTCAGCAAGTGCCTATACTCTACATTGACGCAAAAACCAGAGCCTAATCCCAAATCCTAGGCAAGCACTCCCAAACTCCTGGCCTGGAGGAATTCTGGGAGCTCCGCGAGCTTTTTGAGCCTTTCGAGGGCTTCGAGTCCTGCACGCTGCAAAGGGCAGTCAGTAGTACGTTGAAGGTTTAGGAAGCATGAAATAAAGCTTGCTGAATGCTCTGTAAGGTTGAAGGGATCTGCGCAGCGCCCATCCGTTGCGCTTCTAGAAAACACGTCTCAGGCGGTGTCTGCGGCAGTCGTCACTGGCTCTAGGGGATTTCTTTGTTGCACGTGGGTTGTCGTTGGGGTTTTCCGGATGTGGAAACTGCCTGCGCTCGGGCAATCATAACCGGGAACTCCGCGCTGTAAGACACGTGTTGCATACTGCAGGGCTTCGGTTTTGGAGGTCCTAGTATGCTTAACGCTGCCCTTCTTTTCGGTGCTCCGAAGAAGTCTATGCTAACTGCGTGCTTTGTGGCAAAGCTCGGAGCTGAATTTCGCGCTGCACGACTTTGCTGTGCGTGCCTGCTGGTCGCAGTGCGAGGCAAAGCTCGGTGCTTCTGCGAATAAATCGGGGGGGGGGGGGGGGGGGCGATTCGTCCCACGGGCGGACCATAATGGAACCCGAAGTTGATGCTGCCGGACAGTTCGTGCACCATGCTTTTGGAGAAGAGACTGAGAAGGGAGGTCTTTGTGCTGAGCTTAGGTATGGGCGATGAAACGCTACTCGAGAACAACCACTGGAGCTCTGAGCTGAAACCTTCCGTGCAGCTTTGCCATGCTTCTCTGCAACCTGTTCTTCGGCTTCTTGCAGCTGGCAAGCCTGTAAAGCTCTGAAGGACCGCACAAGACTTCATGGCGAACCTGTCCAACCGTCGAGAAACCACGCTTGACAAATTCGCCATGTGCCGGCCCGCATCT